GTTTAAGCCACTGTTTTAGTCATTTAAATTATTTATCTATTTTAAATTTCCATAACTATAAAATTCTCAATTTTCTCAGCTTTATTTTGAACCACAGTTTGTAAAAATCGAGCAAGAAATAATAAATTTATGAGAGTTTTTCATCAGGATGACGCCTCACAGTCCATTGACATCCATTCATTMTGTTGAGGCTCCTCAGTGCATAACAGAGCTCCAGTGTGTGCACGTCAATGTAGCTAGCAACGCGCTAGCCACGCCCAGTCCAGTAATATATATATCAATGGTTACCACCACCACCCTCACCCCCGTCCCCACCCCACCAATTAAAAATGCTTCTGGAAACACCTTTGCCCAGGGCAGCAAGAAAGTTTCAAATATAGCATGMTAATTGTGAGAGACAGATATCGAGACTGAAACTGCTAAAAGACAAGATCTGAGATCATTTGTTGGGATAGTTCTCTTTGGTCTGTTTGAACCTTTCCATTCACAAGTCAAAAACACACAACACTCAAAACAAGGCAGAATTAATACAGAAAACAGATGATAAACAATCTCTGAGTTCCTGTCAATGACAAGAACAGGTTTAGACTGAACGAATGTACGTAGAAACATAAGCCATCTCAAAAAAAGCAAAATCAATTGTCAAAAATATTAAATACTCAAAACATTCTGTGAAAGAGGTCTTATGAACAAAAAAYTAAAACGTTGAACTTTTAAACCAAACAACTTTAAATTTTAATATTTAAAAAGGATTTCATTACCTCAGACCTGTTTATTCTTGATAAATAAGAAATTCGGGTAATAAAGAGAATAGACTTGAGCAGTTGGTGATTTTAAAGGCCACATCCTTTATGRAGTTCAGTTTAATCTGGTGAGGAGAGATGGAGTGGTCCGAGCCCCGGATGAATGGAGAAACAGCAGGAAAACATATTAACTCAAAGGTCAGAGTGAAGCTCCGGTAATACTGAAGGTGAACTGACAATGAAACTGACTTTTCATTGATGCACATAACATGGTTTCAAATGGACAACCACTGGTGTCTGTGCTACACCATTTAACAAGCCTAACTGGGGTTTGAATACAATTAGACAAACAAAGAGGAACTCAAGGCCACATGGAGTTTAATAGTAAAAGAGTAAAATCCTTTAAGGTCAATGAGGATTTTAACCACCTGAAGCATCAGCTGTAGGTTTTTTTTTTTGGGGGGGGGGAATCAATTTTTTTTGTTTGCAGTTATTGAAAACAAAGATTGTTTAAATAAATGAAAACATTTTTTACACATTGTTGCCTACTGCTAGTTTGACAGTTGCCTAAACGTTTGCTGGTACCACCTGGACCTCGGCTTAGTTGAGCCCCTGCCCCACAAAGGCTAGCATGGCAGCAAAACAAAATAAGACAAACTATGAGCAAGAGAAGATCCAGCGAGTAAGTTGAAAAAAACAGAGTGGTTGAATAAGGCAAGGCTGTGTGGAAAATGGAGAGCACCTGGGTGATTGCAGAGTTACAGACAGGTGTGGCAAGAGAACTGACTGGAACAATACTGAGAGGCAGAAAGTGAGAACACAGAGAAAACACAGGAGGGCGACAGAGACAAACACAGGTCCTAACACCGACTGTATAGGGGCAATATCATGTAAAATCAACTTTTTTGAGTTTTATATCATGTTATAATGTTATACTCTCATA